TTCCTCGGTTATTCAGCAGAGGCCACTATAGAAGTATTGAATCATGGAAAGAGCATATCATTAAAGCCCTTCCTTTCACTGAATCTGTGTATGAGTCTCTTTATTGGCCTAGATTGCAGTGTAGTCAGGGCGTGACGGGTAAGACTGGCCTCACTCCCCACTGCAACTTTGAAGTCGGGTCAGGAATACTTGCCCCTGTGTTTGGCTGGGTAGCAGCAATGATATTGCTTCCCCTCCCAGTGTCTTAACTTTCAGAGACATTTGGAATCGGAGAGCGCAGTGCCCCCTGCCACCAGTCTAATGCGGGGCCATGTGGACTGATTTTGTGGGAAATCTTTGAAATGGTAATAAGGTTGAGGGAAGCATCGTCTTGCTCTCCGAGAGAGCGAAAGGAAGGGGGAGGGAGGGAGGAAGAAGGGGGTTTCGGAAGCAGCGCTCTAGGTCAGAGAGATGTAATGATGGGCTGGGATGAGCTGGGGTTTGCCGGAGGATTACCGTCTGTCTTGGTAGCTAGCGCAGCTCTCCAAGGCCAATGTTTCAATCCCCACAGAGCAGATTTGCTCAATGTCAATATGAAAATAGAAGGGCAGCATGTGCACTAAAAAAATAAGCACTCGTGTGATGGGTTGTGTGTGTGCAGCAAAATCCACTGCCCGGGAGAAAAGCAAACAGCACACGATACTTTCATATCTGTGGTGGCACTTAAGCTATTGTATCAACTCTAACCTGCATTCATATTAATAGATATAAATGTGGTATTATCATGTAAAAAAAGACCCTGTGATTCAACCAGAGCTAAATTATACACATGCATTTGTTTTGCTCTTTCCGTCTCTCTTTGTGTTTTTTTCCAGGGAGAAAAACAGAAAAGCTTCAGTGTATGACCTAACTGGAATAATAAATTATATAACTGCTTGAATTCATGCCAGTAATGAAAGGTTCGGCTCAATTTAATTACAAACACATTTATCTATGCAGATAATTTCAGTTTTATTTGTCAGTTTTTGACAAAGTCCGGTAATTTCATAAAACAAACAATGCAAATAGAATCAAATTTAGGGTGTTTACTGTATTTATTGAAACTTGGTTTTGGTCATCATCATTTTTGCGCTGTAAAACCAGATCACCAGAAGTTAATTTAACTCAAATTGTTTACTGATTACATCGAAAATTCTAAGTAAAACTAACTAACTCACATTCTTGATCAAATTGCTTTAGAAATATTAATTTTCATTTAATTTTTTTAATTTAAAGCAAGAGCTGTCAATAATTTACACGGTTGGTACAATTAGTATTAATACAGATATTAATGAAGGCCAAAACAAAAAGTAGTTTTCATTAGCAACAAATTTTAACCTAAAGGTCTGTGGATTATATTGACTAACCAACACTAACGTTGACAGCCCAATTTACTTGGGTTAACTTTGGGCGTAAACTTAAGTAAACTCAGTTTGTCCACCTCTTTGAAATAAGGCTGAGGGTTTACTCATTACAGTTAAACTGCAGTCCATCTCTTTGACTGTCACGTCTCGTTGTGCACCTCCCATCTAAGTCCTGGACCATTTAGCTTTTTTGTCAAACCACTGACTCTACACGCTTATTCCTGTCACAAAGCAGCGTTACTCCGGCGATGCCTCGTTGGCAGCTTGTCTTAATGTTTTCTAATTGTTTCAATTTCCATAATACAAGTATTGACACTGCTTAATTTGTCATGTTTTCGCCTGTTGATTTCTGACAGCAAGACTTGAAGCTTCGCGGTGTGGAATCTTTTTTTTTCAACTCTTGTGTGACATTTCGAATGACATTTTGACATTTTGAGTGCATTAAACTTTCCCACAAACAGAGTGGAACGGGCAGCCTTATATGACCATTCAGGGGCGACATTTATTCTATTGATCCAATCTCATGAACACACACCTACTCATAAACAGGTGGCATTCTTCAGGCTGGAATGTGTGTTTTACAACAAGTTTGCGCAGAAGAGAGTTTGTTCAGTCTGACTTGGAACGCTGATACAAGCGACCCTCACAGAAAAAAACATTTAATGTTTAGGATGAGAATAGAAGCCCCACAAATGATTCCATTCTACTCTATTGCTGATTTAGAAATAAAGATCACATGAAATCGAAAACTCTCTGCCTGACCAGACTCGATAGGGGAAAGTCATTTGAGTGAACTGACCCTTTAAGCCAAGCTGAACATTGACGGAGCTGAAACCTGACATCAACAGCTCTGCCCTGCAGCAACAAGCTCTCTATTTATTACCGCGTGTGGACACTCTCAGAGGTAGCTGAACCTTTGACCACCACATGGTCTCGCCGGTACGACAAAGACAAGACGAAGAGGTTGTCAGTTGTCTTACAGCAACCGCAATCTTCCTCACCTTTTCCCCCTTCGCTCGCCTTAAATCTGGAAGCCATCACTGCACCTCCATATCTCCCTCTGGCTAGATATGAAGTGAGCTCACATTCTAAATATCTCCCATTCTGTTTGATTGCCCTCCAAATAAGTCACACTGTTCAAACAAGCAGAGAGAGCTGCTCCACTGCCTCCCATTGTCTGGCTTTGAGCTATTGACGCTGCAGTTGGCGATTTATTAGAGGCACCTTTCCCAAGTGACCGATAAGCATTGTGATGGATGCATGATTTGACTGTGCCAAAATGGCTTTATCTCTCCCCTCCAAGCTACTATCTCAAGCTAGCTGATGAGCTGTGCTTATTCTCCCTGCTTTGACTTTCTTTCTCCCCCCTCTCCCCTTTTCTCATCTCTCACATGGCAATCACTGCAAGCCTTATCCTACAAAGAGCCAGTTTCACCAGGAACAAATGCACTCTATTATTTACTGATTTAGTTATCTATGCACTTTGTGGCTTCTCCTACTCTTTCCAGTTTATTGGCTGGCGTTTATGTGTGTTTTTGTCAGCGCTTGCATGTATGCACGTGTTGATGACTTTACAAGCATATGGATTTGTGCATGCGCCCACTGCAGCTCACATTATCTGAGCAGAGCAGAAAAGCGATTGCGTTTTTCTCCCCGATGCTGTTTCACATTGTTATTCTACGCTCTAGATGCAATATCCTGCTATTTAGAAACCCAACTATCAATCATCTCAATTGTTGCTGGCAAACTTCAAAGCACTTGCTGCTCATTTTCTCTCTATTAGTAACACTCAAGTGGATAGAAATACAAAGGAGCAGAAATTACAGAATGACGCGCGTGTTTGTGTGTGCGTCTGTCTGCGGCAGAGTGTGTAGGTGTGTTTGGAATGTGGTTTTGGAAATGAAAATTAGCAGCTGAGTGAAAAAAAAAAATGCATTCACTTTGAGCTAAAAGGTAGAACTTGGCATTTTTTACACTCTGCTCGATGTTTAATTAATTCTGTGTTGTTCTTTTTTTTTTTTTTTAGTACGTGCAGTGTTTCATATGAACTCATCCTATCTGGGCCTCGTGTGTGTGTGTGTGTGTGTGTGTGTGAGAGATTATAAGCAGCGGCTGATTTCAGTTTGATCAGTGAGTGATTATTTTCTCTATGTGTGCTTACATATAAAAGCATGCCTTTGTACAAGGATAGATCATGAGACAACCATCAATTTGCTTGTTAACAGTTACTCTAAAATGCCGCTGTTGCTTGAGAACCACAACTGAAGTTCAGTATTTTGTTTATTTTTTTTTTTACTTTTAACCTCTTTTAACAAAGCTTTGTCTTCTTTTTCAGAACATTTCATCTGAATAATTTTATGTTCACTAATTTACAAAATAAGGAGGGCTTAGAGTCTGGAGCCATGCCAGTGGCCTTGAGAGGCTGTACTTACCAAATGCTCACAATGACAATGCCAACATGATGATATTTTGTTCAAAATGTGAACTCCTTCTCAGAGTCAAGTGACTAATCTTACCAAAGAGACATGCTTTTAGATTCAGTGTGACTTACACTTTCCAAGGAACAGAGAATATCATAACATCCGATGTCCATTGCGAATAGATGTGAATAAATCTGCTCAGGAATTTTTTTTTTTAAATCCAGACCATGCCTGACAATCACGTTTTTAAGTTTTCTTCAGCATCAAAGTAATCCTGTGACAGCTGTCTGTACATCCATTGGCACATTGCAAATAGGAACTGCTGACAGGTAATTGAGCATGATGGTGCCATTTTAAAAAAAGCTAATTTATTGACTCCATGACATCATTATATCCTTCTTTGTATGATTTCTCATGGTATCAGACTTTGAAAACCCCTGCGCCACAGGAAACGTCACAGGCTCACCTCCAAGTCAAGCAGAATACAAATGTCTGTCCAAGATTTCACACCAGTCCATCTATCAGTTGATGAGATATTTCTGTTTAGACTAAAATGGTGGACTGACCATCCATCACACTGGCATTGCCATCCATAAGCCAAAGTGAGTGTTGTCTAATGCACAGCTGGTGGATGGGTGGATCGTAAAATGAAATCATGCACACAAAAATGTTGGTGCATCCCTGCAATGCTGCATTTTCTGTACACATTCAATGATTTTTCAGGAAAGAATTGAATAAAGAAATCTAGAACAAGGACAAGATTGTGTAGAAATAAATGTTTCTGCTTGTCCTGTTTATCATCTTGTGACCCCTTAAGATTTATCTTGTGGCCCCTTAGATGAGTCCTGACCTCCAGGTTGTAAACCAACTATAGCATAATATACACAATATTGCAGAAGACTTTCTAATGAAACCAGTGATACAAGTTTTCAAAGCAGAGCTATTCTGCTGTCAGACATATTTAAACTGCATTATTGATTTTAATGTAAAGATACTGTAGCCAAAGAATTGTCAGACAAAGTGAACAAATAGAATGTCATCTGGAGATCCATATTTTTGATTGAGCTTTTATTCTTTCCAACAAGACATGTAAATAACAGTCACTTCAAACTGGGCTGGGTTGGGCCCCCTTCACTCTTTGGGGCCTGTGCACAGTAGGCCTATGCAGTAATCCATCCATTCCTGTGTATATAGTATATGTATGTGTGTGTGTGTGTGTGTGTGTGTGTGTGTGTATGTATGATGTGTGCACAGTGCGTTCCGCTTTGTGTTTATTTGTATTTGGCAGAAATCCCTCCCAGCATGGAGGCACAAACAGTCCAGATCCGCAGCATCACTCACCTCGTCTTCTATCCTCTCCTTCCTCTGTGCGGTATTAAGTATCACTCACTGCTACTCCAACACTGTCAAACTCAATTTCAAAGTTCTTCATCTGCCAAATCCAGCAGCATTTTCCGGCTCAGATTCATGATCACGCTGCGGTCGGGAAACAGAGTCAGGAAGAAGTCAGCGTGATTGGCGAATCTCAACGAGCCAGTGTAGCATTTCAAAGCCTGCTATCATTCCCGAAAACACCAGCCCCAGCCCAGTTTTGGCTGCCGCTGTGCATAGAGAAGTCAATAAATTTCTTAATTAAAGGAATGCATCTCAAATACACAGAACGCTCCTAGTTACTGACGCATTTACTGAGATTAAAGTTGTGGATTGGAATTTGTTTTCATGCATTCTAATTTCCTGTCATCATGCATTAGTCACAAAGGAAAGTCTAGCTTAACAAAGTGCTTTCCTAACACACTGGGAGTGAGATCGTGTCAGTGCACTAACTGGTCTTCCATTTGGCCACTGCTGGAAAATGTGATATATTTGCCAAGGCTGCTAATCAAAGCAAGCTGAGCGAAGAATATGTGTGTAATTTATTACATGTTAAATTTGGCTGGTGTACTTCCCCTAACTGCATTTCTCTGCATCTCCACCCTGAAATAAATTTCATTTAAGCAGAGCAACACAGCTTGGGCCACAGATTTCTAACCATGGGAAACAGTGTTATTGTAATGATAAGAATGCTTAAGGCAAGTTAGTCCATATATTATCCCTGGTTTTTTCCACTTGGTGTTTGTTTACCTTGGAGATGAATGCAGCGAGTCTCCTCCTGGCCCACGGCTCAGCTCTCCTTACTTGGGGTTGTGGAGGAGATGTGCTTTCTACATACAGAGGGAAAGAGCAAGACAGAGTCAGTCTACCTTTATTAAATCTATTATGGGTGCCCACTCTTCCGTTGCAGAGCTTTTCTCCCTTATTCTGTGATCCTTTGGCTTGTGTGTTCATACTTTTGAGTCTTTCTTTGCCAATGATAATTACAGTAATATGCGCTCAAATGGATGCACATGCCTCATTGAAACTGTTGAAATCAATATTTTAAATATGCTGTTTTTCCAACTGATGAAACATCTCATTACGTTATAAAGCACAGCAATTACACAGCACTAAATGGCACTTAAACAATGAGTCTTACATTTAACTTTGCTAAACTAAATAAGAAGAATGCCAGTGAAATGCATAGTTGCATTTGTTTTCACTAATCTGCCAATTTCCAATGTTTCCACATATCTTGCTGTGAGCAGTCTTCATAGGGACTATTTTTGGTAAGTAGTAGTTCCAATGAAAACAGGTCTGTGGATTATGCTGAGTTTCTGGACACTTTGCAATTGTGTGTCTATGCATCATGCATGCGCAACCTTGTGAACATGCACTTAGGAGAAACTACGGTGGCAGCGAAATTTCGAAAAAACTTGTCCTCATCAAGACCCAGGGTTTGGTTTTCCATATTTCTGTTGTCTCTACATCTTTTGCGCAGATTACATTCATTAATTACTCTTATTGTTTTTGGTTGTGCCGTGGTGAAACTTGGCAGCGGGAGGGGCTCTCTCTCACACACGCACACACAGAGCACTGTGGAGGAAAGAAAGAGCGAGAGAGTTGACGATGGTTGCACCGTAAATTAAAGCTTCATGAGTAAAAACAGCTGTGTGACGGCTGACCTAAAACAAAAGATCGGGTCAATAAAGCTCAACATAACCGATACCAATCAGTTAAAAAATGCCTTGATTGGCTCCAATACCGATCGTTGAGTTCAGATCGGGACATCCCTAGTAGCAGATGCATATAGTATCAGAAAATGAAAATACTCAAATGAAGTACACCAAAATTGTAGTTACGTAGGTTCTCGGGTAAATGTACTTATAGTTACTTTTCACCATTGATTGAGGCAGCAACATCTGAAGATGAAACTAGTGGAGGCTAGATATCGCTAGAGGTCAATAAGAAAATATATGACTGACACTCAGAGAAGATTAAAATTTGAAGACTCTGTGCCTGAGTGGAGATAGGTTAAGGTTAACAAAGCTCTTGCGCGGCCTTGAGTGCCAAATTAGAATCCTGTGCTTTGCATGAACTACAGTGGTCATAGAGCAGGATCAGAAATTATATCGAGCAAGAAGAAGATTGATGTCTTGTTCAGTGGCAGTATTTCAGGTATAGTTATTTGCTTTCAAGTAGAATATACCTGCAACTAGCAAGGTGAGTATTGTTTGTAACTGTCACATTTGCTGAATGGGCTCACACAGATGTAAACAGCAGATGTGCAAAGATAAAAAACTACATCTCTTAAATGGGACAGTGCAAAGCGTGGTTGCACGTGTGTGTGTGACTTCATTTTAAGTGTACACCCATTAAAGTGTGTCGGCACTCGTACAGTACTCGCGTGCATCTTGTGTGTTAGCGCGTGGGTGTGATTGCTGCTCGGACTGTGTGAGATAAACAGGACATGCTCCAAGGAGTGGGCCATTGGCCAGTGGACACAGCTGAGGAGGCAGCTGTGAGGAGGAGGAGAGGTGGAAGGAGGGGGGAGGGGAGGAAGAAGAGAGAGAGGGAGGGATGGGAGGAGAGCAACACACTGTGGAGGGCAAAGTGCCCTGACAGCCACAGGAGTCGCAGAGTGGGACCTCTCCAGGCTTGACAGATGGACAGACAGGGCTACGCCCCGCTGGCAGACTCTAGCTCTTGATGCCAGTGCACATACACGTCAACGTGCACTCACAAACACACACACACACACACACACAAGCACCTATATAAGCATGAAGAAACAGCCACATTCTGATGCATTGAAAACACCAGGAATGCAACGTGGCTGACAAACAGAGATACACAGAGATATAAAATCAGGACAAATCCTTTCTGGTTCAGAAAATGAACCCATGAAATACCTTTCTCTACCTTTCTCCTTTGTTTTACTTCAATGCAGTGGCGTTCCAGAGAAAGAGAGAGGGCTGTCTGAGGCCATTTGTCAGAGGGAATAAAGGTGATCAAGTCCAAAGATTTTATTCTTTCGATTCAGGACAGTGCCCAAAACCGCAGGGAGTTGCTGGGCATGGGCGTGTGTGTAGATCAGCTAGCCTTTGCTTTTCCACCCACGAGGGACACAAAGGACAGTACTGGCCAAGATGTGAGCCGTGCAATGAAGCTTGTGGAGGGAGGAAAGAGATGGGGGGAGAATTCAATCAGAGTTGACCATCTGCCAGATCACTTGTAACGCCAAAGGTGTTATTCCCCTGAGCAAAATCTCTAGCCTGGGTGAGTGTGGCACACGTTGCAGGACTCTGACAAAGTCTAATCTCTTGTACCGTGACATGCAGTTTCAGGATTTTTTTTTTTTTGGTCTGCTTTGGAAGTTCTAGAATTCATTATTCACAAAGTTATAATGCACTGTGTACTGATTTCTACACACAAATCAATTACAGGTGTAATGAGAGTTTCTGAGCTCTCATGGATGATTCTAATTCTGCAATATATTTAGTTAAATAGAATATTACAAGAGAAACATATCAGTACAAAAACACTGTGGCCATGCTAGTAGCTGTCAGATAAGGCTCATTAGACATCCTTTAGCACATTAGCATGCCTGTAGTTAGTATGCATTTATGCTACATTTAGCATATCAGCATCATGTTAATGGATGCTAAACTGCTAAAGTTAGCATGTGAACGGTCAAACAGACGGTTTAAAGCAACATTATGTAACTATTCTACCAAATTAACAGCTTCTCTGTCGTTTTACACTGGCAGGTCTGGAGTTTTGGGACACGGGACAAGTTTTCCGGCCTGGGACGGGGGGAGGAACGCTGACGGAGAGTGGCTCGGGTTGTGTTAGACCCGAGCGGTCAATGTAACCAGCTTCTATGGACATAGCTAATAGCAGAGGAGGAGGAAGCTAAGAAGAGAAAATGAGACTCGGAAAAGAGTAAATGTTGGACTGGCTTACTAGCTGGTTTGCTATATCTGGTGTTGATGCACTCGCTTAATGTCTGTGACAAAATGTGTGGACTTAATGGTTTTTGCTCATAAGTAATGTAATCATAACTAATGGATGTGTACAGCTGTTCATATTTCCAGACAGTGGTACTGCAGTCTGAAACTGGGGGAACCAAATCGTTAGCATTTGAGTTCATTCTCATCAGCATCAGTTGTACTTTGAGACTTGCTAATGTTTGTACTTTTTTACTAAAGGTAAGTCTCAAATAACAAGTGAAGTTTAAAAGAATTCGGTGAGTAGTTTTATAGATATCCTGTAAATAGAATTTCTAACCCATGGCTGTAAATAAAATGTCACAGGATGATCATCAAATGCATGATTCCTCATCTGGGAATAATGTCTGAAAAATGTTATATATTTCATATAGCCTATACTAACAGTACATTTACACCGCTATAGGTCCCCAGGAAAACAACCCACAGTTTGTGTCCAATCCATAACTATCAATTAAGGATCAGTTATACTTCTTAGCTCTTATACAGCAGCCTTATGGATAGGCTATAGTTACAATATGACTGCAGCCGTCACAGTTTGTCAGTGCAGGCAGGTGCTGATATTTCCTTTTTCACTGTCAACACCAACTAAACTACAAATACCAGCTGATACAAAGAACTGATACAAACCAATGCTTTAAGTGAAACTTTGGCATCACACAATGTCTTGGAATAGCACTCTATACCTCAAAATATTCCCCCACCTGGAGCAAAAAAAAAATTAAAACTGAGAAGTCAGAGAGGGAGAAACGTCACAACCTACTTTACCAGTGTGTGTTGCTAGCCCTTCTTGAAACAGAATTGATGCATAAAGAAAGAGCATTCAGATGTGTTAAGAGCAGTAAAGTCACCATTTAAAGCAAAGATGTACTCCTTGCTACCACTGAGTATTCTCTCCCTCTCCTCCAGTGCTTTACAAAACAGTAGAATAAGCAAAGGAGAGAGGGAGAGGAAGAGAGAGGCTGCAAGGCTGAAAGAGTGGAAGATGAAAAAGGAGGTGGAGTAGGAGGAAAAGTAGAAAAGGGAGGAGCAGAGCAATACCATTTAAATTGATTCGACGACCTGCGGGCCTGCATCCTGTCACGCTTTCTTGCAGCCCCAGTCCTCTTGCCATTCCCATCCAGGGAGGACATCTGAGGAGGCCCACAGCTTTTTTCATTCCTGTTTTCTCTCTAAGGGTAGGTATTTCATCCCAGGGTATTTCACAGTTCTTCCATGGCCATCCCCTTCTCATTCTCTTATCTTCCACACTGTCACAACCATTCGGCTACTGTAGGCATCAGCAGGCAGCCTGAGCTTACTGTGTTTTTTTTTTTTTTTTACAGAAAAACTGGGATTCTTTATTTCTCTCCCTCCATCTCTTCTTTTTATGCTTCCATCTCTTGCCCTTTCCTGGCCTGCCATCTCTGCACACATCCCCTTCACGTCCCCCTGTACCCACTTTTACTTTTTCTCTCTTTCACTTTCTGTTAATGACTTCTCTTCCCCATCTCACATCTCCTCCTCTCTTCAGCCTCTTTTCTCCATTCCTCGCTATCTTTGTTCTTCCTCCTTGCCATATGTTCCCTTTCTCTCTCTGCCTCTGACTTGAGTGCCATTTGATGAGACCTGGATTGAGAGCAGTGGAGTATCGGTGTCGTGCAGCAGTGCACCCAGGAGAGGATGTCAGGGAAAGAGACAGGCCCTCTTCACATTAAATATCATCTGACACCTAATCTGCAGCACCTTCTGCCGCTGAGATGAGAGGAGGAGGACGGAACTGCTCCCCATGCTCCAAGAAACAGCCCCCATCTTTCCCCCTTTGGTTCATGTTGGTGGAGGAAGAAGAGCCATGTAATTAATACATCAAGACAAAGGCTGTCTTGAGCCTGTCCGTCTTTGAGAACAAGAAAGACAAGGAAGAAAT